TATCAAAACAGATTTCTACATTGACGTTGTGTAATAGTAGTGCATTATGGTTCTCTTCTTTTATCTGACTTAAAGTTTAAATGAAATGACTTTATTAGTATGAATAATTGTTGTAGTCTATAAATAGGAATCCCTGACGACAGCATTTCTCTCATGCAGGTTCGGGTTTCTGTACACAGATCAATTAAGCTACAAACATTGGCACACAAGCATTCGAGCATCCCAACAATAAAGATTACTGATATTTTTATTCATTCCCACATTTCTATGTTAGGATGTTATCAGCATTTCACACATTGTTTGTTTTTACGCTTCACCAGAACTTCCAGCCATAAGTCACACAAAGCATCATGGGCTGCAGGTATAGCATGCAGAACACACACATCCTCAGATGCACTACATCCACCATCTTACCAGTGACCTTTGACCCATACGTCCTTTGACGTATGACGCTATACCAATACAGTTAAAAGCCCCATTCATTACAATCCCCACTCACCATACTTTTTGTATCTCACTGTGGTTTTTAACGATGTACGACACAATTCTACACAGAGGCAGTGTTGAGCAGTAGCTCAGAGATAATGAATGCGGATCAAATCATTGATTTGTTACCTCAGAAAAACATAGGTATAACTGGTATAACATAGGTAGAACTGCCGTTTTCTCAGTGCTTCCCTGTAGCTGACATTACGACTGCCCTCTTTCAGCCAGGAAATCAACTGCTCCAACAGAGAGAAACTTATCAAAAACTCAGAGTAAAAACTGCATTTTCTGTATAAATCAAATGTAGTCACGATGCTGCCATGGTTAAGGTTAGTGCACTGCTTTGATTTAACTGCAGCTTAAACAGGCTACTACATAATCAGAAATATTACTAAGGAAATTACAACCAATTTATAATCTTTTGTATCTATGAGATTTGCATTAACAGTGACTGCATTTTAAAGACTAGCATAATGTATGAGTTATTTATATCATCCAATATTGGCCACAGGGTATATTATCTACTATGTTTTCTTAAGGGAAAATCACTCTATGGCTCATTTGGTTGTGTAGAGCAGGACAAATGCATTACTATCCTATTATTTACCATCCCTGAGGGATGTTGATAGTGTTTCTGCTTGATTGGAATGAAAACTTTCAGCCTCAGCAGCGCTTTTGTGGATAAAACTGGACAATCCCAGTTTGTAAAGACAGGAAAGTACAAAACATAAAATTCAATGTTCTTTGTAACAGAATAAAGAAACTTTTTAAAGTGAAAATATACACCCTAACATGTTTATCTGCACATATTTACAAATTTTGTGTTTCACACAAAATGTAACAATGGCAACAGACTTTATAGTTCATTTTCAACAATTTATTTATTTGTAATAAGCATCACCAAAAGATGGAGAAACCTTTCCTCCCTCTCTCGCGCATCCCTATCTCTCCTTTCCTGTAGTATGGCATCCGGGGAATTTTTGATGAACACTACGTATTCAGACACATAAACTATTCTCTTGTACTGTTTTCACGTACTATATAGTATGGAATTGTGCCATTTCGGACGCAACCGTTGTAAAATACAGGATATAAATCTATAAGTGAACTCTGTATTACTGCGCCACGTCATGACGAATCCTTGTGCTGTTAATGGAAATGGCAAGCTTTGAATCAAATGCTGCTCGCATGGACCGCCGAGTGTACTGATGAAGTAAGAACCTGTTTTTGTTTAAACCGAGGGGCTTACAATTTATTCTCTTAGCTAACGCTAATTAACTTAAATTAGACTATGCTGGTCAGAGAGCTAACAGGCTAAAAGATAGCTAACAACCTAAACAACTCCATAATTAATATCACTGGCTTGAATTTAAATACTTACGGTGTGATTCACTGTAAAACTGCAATGTAAGAGTTTAAAATATGTCACTTGAACGGGTCATACAGAAGCCAGTATTTCAATTCCAACTTAGTGCACTATGTAGGGAGCTGGGAGCCATTTGAGATTCAGCCCCAGCACGAGAAGCGGGGCACCATTGGTTTGGTGCTGTGTAAGACTTGAGGTGGTAATTTTTTTGCATTAAACTGTGTTATGTTCATTATTATATGACAAAAAGATAAAAAAAAAAGTTTATGAAATGACCGCAGTAGACAGTGATGGGCGACCAAACCTTCTTCTGTGCATTCAGCAGTCTGTGATTGCTCGGCAACGATATCATACACTAAAGGAACCACATTTCTTGGCGGAATACTTGTTTATGTTGATCATTATTAATAAGAACGTTTAGAAAATCATTTTCTTAAATATATATATATATATATATATAAAATCATTTTTTATGTTGGCCGTTGTTTTATTAAAGCAATAAGCTATTTGCGTTACTGTGATTTTATCACAGGGAAGGGTGTTCTGGCTTATTGCTTTAATGTACCACTGTTATTATGAAAAATATATACCACCCTTAGAAAAATAAACATGTGTTTCAATTATGCGTCTGTTACTCTTTTCAAAAATGTGTTATATACAACATTTGTAGTAATGGAAACAGCATTTTGGAATGAAACTCTTCAACTGTTCAGCTGGAAATTACAGATAATCTTTTCGCCAGTAGATGGCACTATTTTGCTATATGTGAAGCAGCCGTAAAGTCTTGAGTGAATTCTATTAAACCGTTTAAGAAAAGCCAATGAAAAGCAAATTTTGGCCAGGTGAATTGGTAAAGTAATGGATACACATACTGGATTATATACATGATATTCAGTGCAGAAATAATGTTTAATTTGGTGCTGAGCGCACTTATTTGCAGTAAACCTTTTTGGTTTAAGAGTAGTAAGGAGTTGTTGTTTCTCAGGAGCGTTGTGTGATTCTGTTAATACTGTGGTGTCAGGCTTGTCTGTACTGTTTAGAAATTAGAAAGGGGTACAAGTTGATTTTAGGCTATTTGGTTCATTTATTACACCTTCTTTTACACGGACTCTTATTCTGGAGGGCTGTATGTTCATAGACGAGTGAATGAAATGAAAAGTGCCAACCAGAGCTCATGACAGGTAACTCAATGACACAGTTTCCATGAGTTAAACCAAAGGCTGTTAAATTTACAAAAGAGTCTGCTTCAGCACAAACCTTCAAATACTTTGAACCTCAAATTGTTAGTCGAAATGGGAAAGTCTGTCAGAACCCTGAAAACATAACACCAGTTTCTCAAAACTGATTACAGCCCTCTATTTGAAAGTGATGTAGAAGATCAGATAGATGTTGCTCCAAATAATGATGAAAGAGAGAATGAACAAAATAATGTCCCTGAAAATAATGTCTAAGATGAAGGGAAGTAACATAATGTCCCACAAAATAAACACCAAAGAGTGAGTGTATAATAGAAGGGGTGGGCTGGGGTGGGGTATCTGTGTCTAAAAGAGATGTAGTCTTTTTTGGTTCTTTATTGTTGTTGAACCTAATTCCCCCTCAGATCTGGTTGGGGAAACCAGGGTGGATGTCCCTGTGTAGCTACTGTAAACCTCTACTTTTTCATCAGTGAAAGTTCTGTCAGTTGCCAGACTTTCTTTCAGCTGCCAGCCACAAGAGGCGGAATAACACCAGCATTGGAATCCCAAACGCTAACGAGAGCCTGGGAAGCTCTCATTAAGGGCAGCATCAGCTCTGACCTGGGATTACTTGGATCGTGAAAAGCAGAAAATGCAACCGACTTCTAAGACTGAACTTCGGAAGTGTTAAAAAAAGTTCTGAGTCGCACCCATTCATGATTTTCTCACACAGCCAAGACATCGCTAGAGTTAAAAAGAGTGATGCCTCAACCAAGTTAGCGCTGATGTAGCCTAGTGGTTAAACTAGGCATGTACTTTTAAGCTATCATAGTAAACCAACAGTCATAAGTGTAAAATAGTGTAGGCAGTAACATAAGCATTTCTTAAAAGATGGGAGCTACAGGCCTCAGTGCGACTGTCCCGACTGCACTGCCAGTACTTACACCACTGCTCATTACAAAGACTCACAGAGTCATGATGTAAAATCATATGTACATTTTTATTTGTGAAGTACATTTTTAGTTGTAGTAGGAAAGTAGGAAAATGAAATAAAATTACTAGACTGAGTGAACTAAATTTAGGAGTACTAGATTAAGAAAATTAAACTAAAAGATTAAAATTAAGAGTAATAAAAAGGTACTAAATTAAGGGTAAAATATAAGGATACTAAATCAAAGCAAACTAACATAAGGGTACTAAATGAAGGGTATTAACATAAGGATAATAAATTATGGGTATTAAAATAAGGGTACTAATTTAATGGTCCTAAAATAAACTTACCAAATTAAAAGCACTTAAAGAAGAGTACAAAATTAAGGGTAATAGGTTAAGAGAACAAAATTAAGGGTAATAAATTAAGGGAAGTAAAATAAGGGTATTAAAAGCAGACTCTTCAAAACAAGGGAATGGTGGGGGTCACTGTAGCCAGGGAAATGCTTCGAGAACGCTCCTCCAGACAGCTCCTCAACAGATCCTCACATTCTTCAGAGACACAGAGACATGCACGGTCAGAACTCTGTGTTTGTGTGAGAGATTTAAATATTGCATGAAATATGTAAAAATATATTTGGCAAATCTTTTATAATATACATTTCGACACTGTGCGAATTATTATTGTATATAATAAAAATGTTATTATTGCAAGTGATTCAAAACTGATTCTAAACTGATTCTAAATGAAAGACTTGTGTGTCTTTATTGATGACTGTATGTGAAATCATCGTCCAGCTCAGGTCAGTTACCAGCAGCGGAGGCGTGGTCCCACCAGGCACAAGCAGCGTTTATGTAAGCTTTAATGGTGGCGGAGGGAGCAGAAGGCACACTGTGGGTCAGTTTCTCCATGCCCTGGTGGAGCCGCAGCGGCAAGGACGGCATTGAGGGTACTGAAATCAGAGAACTAAATTAAGGTTAAGGTAATAAAATGAAGATATTAAAAGACATTTCATCAAAATCAATCAGCCGGTCCGTGGGGGTCACTGTAGCCAGGGGTGCTGCAGTATGTCTTGGAGAGAGGGTCTGCTTTGAGACCGCTTGTCCAAACAGCTCCTCAACAGATCCTCACACTCTGCAGAGACACACAGACATACTTAGTCAGAACTGTGTGTTTGTGTGAGAGAGAGACAGAGAGAGAGAATTTCTGGACACAAGCTTAACTGGTGCTCTCTGATGAAGGTACTTCTACTTGTGCATTTTTAACGTCCTGTTATATACAAAGATATATATATAGAAGCACCATTTTGAAGCATGTAAATAACTCACAGCGAGAGCGAGTCAGACTAAAGTACAGCCTCCACACAGCAGGGTAAGTTACAACACAGTGTCCATAACTTCTCAATAACAATAGTTTTGTTTTTCAATGTTTTATATACAGAAATACAAAAAATGTACTGTAATTTCGAATTATGATGAATGGATAGGAATTTTATTATAACACAATTCTCTGCTCCGTTCATCATTCTGGACACATATAACATTTCTACATTGTTTTACAGGCTCCTAGTGCCCTAATAATTATTTGAAACCAGTGAAGATGTACATGACAGGCGTATTAGAATCATTCTGTACAACAAAATAGATTTTATATTATTGAAAGATTCTCAGACTTTTGAAGCGTAGTGTAAATGTATACAATGGTTCTAATATGTAAGTCCTGTGTAGCTTCACTGATTTGAAATAATTAGTAGCAAAATGTAACTGAAGAAAGTGTAGCTGTGTCCAGAATGATGAACAGAGCTGTAGATGATTCTAATGACTGAGAAAGCTGTAGAACATCTAGCGTGAAGTCAAATTAACATCCAGATTACTGTATATTTCAAAAGTGGTGATCAAATCTCAGACAGAAATGAATATAAACAAAAAATTACAGTATATTATTTATTATTTCATAATTTCTTGTTCACATAATTCTTAAAATATGAAATAAAACATAAAAATATATTTTGGTGAATAGCTTATAAGATTTACATTCATACTGTGTGGGTTCCTATAATGTATAAAATAATAAAAAAATATTATTAAAAGTGATTTCAAGTTTTTAAATGGTTTTGTATCTTTGTAGATGGATGTATGTGAACACACACACAGACATTTAGACAATAACTGCACAGTGAAGACTCTCTGCAGACGATTGTGTGTCCACACTCACCTTGGGAGAGTTGGTATTGTATGTCGGGCTCCTCACTAATTATTTCTTCGGAGGTGTAGAAGGGGAGCTGTCCAGTCAGCATGAAGAACAGCACAACTCCAATCTGCCACACTGTGCATGGCTCAGCCTGGTAGGATCTGTCCAGGAACCACTCAGGAGGAGTATAATCAGGCGTTCCTTTAAAATACAACAATGACAGTGAGTGGACACGTGTGGACTTTACTATAAACACTACTGTTCAAAACTTCACAATCAACCTCTTCAGTAATACAGGAGCCATAAAGGCTTCACTGGAGTATATAAAGGTTCTTGGAGAAAAAAAAAGAAGTTTTTTGTAGTATATAAAATCAATTATATATAGTAAGTCTAATATGATAACCCTGTGTAGTTTTACGTTTCACATAATTAGTAGTAAGCTGTAAAAACGTTTAAAATTCTAATAATACCCATCTAAAAGTGGTCATCAAAGCTCAAGGCAGATAAAGTGACAGAACATTGTTGTAAATAGAAGATGACAGCATATTATTTTCACCACTTTATTTTATCACAGAATACTTCAAATATTGGAATAAATCAAAAATCCTGTTGGAGACTAATATATAATGTTTAAATATATGCTGTATGATTTAGGTTGTTATTGTTTACACAATAAATTACTAATACAGGAAATGGAATTTTAAAAACTAGTGTATCTTGAAATTCATCAGCACTCCTCAACATTCAAACCTTTTAGTTGTTTAAACACAATTTTATATAACAGGTCAGAAAAGAAAACTGTCAAATCATTATGTAGACAAAACCTGCTCTTCAAACCAAAGAAGGTAGTTTCATAAATATGAAGCTGAGTGTTAAAATAAAGTTTTGTCAGTGTTCACTGTGAATACATACCGTAATAGCTGGTGTAGGGGTCTTCCTGCAAGAAGTCGCCACAGCCAAAGTCCAGAATGCGCACATGCAGAGCCTCAGGGTCCGTCTGTACCAGAATGTTGTCTGGCTTAATGTCTCGGTGCAGGACCTCTTTAGAGTGGACATCGATCATACCCTCCACTAGCTGTCTAAGGATTACCTACAGTATGAAAGAGGATGGAGTTAATATAATAAAAGCAGCACATTCTTGTTAGAAGGTCATCAAAAAATTCATAGCTTGGTTCAGTTCGATATGCTTGTACGCCAGATTTGCTTATGAGGTATCTGACACTGTATAACATACTGGTATCTGTAAAAATAGACAAAAGTACAAACACTAGGAGGAGCCATCTTGATTTTTGCCTGTACTTTTGTTCACTTTCATAGACAACAGTATGTTACACAGTGTCAGAAACCACTTGAATGTAATGTTGGAGGCAGAATAGAAGTGCAGGTTCTCATTATTAAAGTTCATGATAACCAAAGCAATATAAACAAATAGAAATAATACTGAATTCCCCTTTAAATGCCAATGTCACTTTGTACAAACCACCTTACTCTATTCCTGCATGACGTACTTCTGTACCATTTCTATGACCTGGTCAAACCTATTGTACATGTCACTTGCACATCAGATTTGAATACTCCTTTTATTGGTTACACTGCACCACTGAACCAGAGTAAATATCATCTCCTTCCTCTGTTCACTTGTGTGCTGATTAATGATAATAAAGAATCTTGAACCTTTTATGTACTTGTTAGCTACATTAGCCTCGTAGCTGCAATGCAGAGCTACAACTTTGTTTGGGGTTAAAGGGGAAAATTGTGTACATGTATCTTAAATTAAAACCAGTCTCAGTAGGTGAGGGAGTGTCTTTCAGGAGCATTGTCTCTCACCTTGGCTTCCTCTTCCAGTAGGTAACCTCCACTGTCATAGACGTAGTCTATCAGGTCCTTGGAGGGCACTGGCCGCTCCATCACCATCACCAGCTCGTCCTGCAGCTCGCACCAGTCCAGCAGCGCTACGGAAGCGCCTTGTGTCTGTCCGGTAACGGTCTCGCCTTCCCCCACCATTGACAACAGCACCACTTCCAGTGGGTATTCTTTCTGTTCTCCATCCACAATCTATAACAGAGCACATTATTACACATAGTCCTCCTTCAGACTTCACCAAACTTCTGTCTTGTAGATCCACCTTGCAGGTGTTCAGTTTGAGACTTTTACAGTTTAGTGTGGAATCTGTTATCATGTTATGTAATAATCTGCAGTTCAGCACTGAATCTCTCAGTGGTTTCACAATATTGTTTACTTGTATCTATTGATGTGATATCACTACAATACCCAGAAAGCATTACTCAAATATTTCATACAGCCTTTGGGAATCTTCCCACAGCAATAAAAATATTTAAATAATAAATATTCGACTTTTAGCAATATTGTCACATATGTGAATTCCTTCTGCATTAACTCATATAACTCATACAGCCTGCCCACCAAAGTCCACCCCAATATATTAGTTTTCCAAACTTTCATCCCATCTTCAAGAAATGTCATCAGAAGGGAGTTTTCTAGTCTTTAAACCAAAAGATCTCATTCTCGAGACTATTGTGTTGCTCCTATAATAAGTAAGCAGGCATGCTGAAATACCCCCTGCTATTTGGGGGGTCCCTTGTTGACTTGTGACTCCAGTGCTAGCTGGCTGCTATCTCACTGGCCATAGTAATACTGGTTCTAGCTTTAATGGCCACAAAATGTTTAGTTTAACAATTCTTCATTTGGAGAGGCTGTTTTAGTTTGGTAATGTGGTACTGTTTTTTTGTGTGTGTGTGTGTGTGTGTGTGTGTGTGTGTACGCTCACCACAATGGTGTGTTGCACCTTGTTTTTGGGGATGTGTTTAATAGCCACCTGCAAGATAAAAAAAGACTGGATTAAACACATTACCGTTATGTGGTGAATGCTTTTGAATCAGTAACTAAACACTATTTTAACTGTCACTGTATTAAAGTGGTCTTTGTTTTCTTCTGTTAGTTTTGTTGAACAGGGTTAGTTTATCTCACAAGCAGCCACTCTATACAACAGCTGCAGAAGTGTGTGTGTATTAGTTACAGGTAGCAGGTCGTCTCTGCGGTAGCCGGCGTACACTGAGCCGTATCCTCCTTCACCCAGACGGTCCTGCTGGACATACTTGCGATCCAGCTCCTCTGCAGGGAGAGTAGAGTTTTCACTGATCAATGGATGCACTGTTTGTGTATGTGTGTGTGTGTGTGTGTGTGCCTGTGTGTGTGTGTGTGTGTTTCTAATGTCATATTACACACCCCTCAGTATTCTGTCATCAAGTTCGTCATCCCCACTGTCACTGTGGTCACTCTGTGCCTCGTGGTCACTCTGTGACTCCTCAAGTTCACGATCTGTCTCGCTATGTCCTTTGGACGAAACATTGTCACTGGACACAAACCGTGATGACTCACAAGAGCTCCGCTGCCCTTCCTCACCATCTGCAGTGGTTGTTAAAACCTGCTGCTCTTCTTTTTCTGTCTCCTCCGCCTCCACTCTCTGTCTCTTTCTTTGGGACGGCCCGCTGCTGCTCTTCTTCCTCTTTCCTCTCGGGCCGAGGCAGGTGCAGTCATGACCGCTGTTGTTAGGTCTCTGGTCCACTTGGGGCTCTGTGTCGTCTGAATTTGCCCCTACAGAGCAAAAAGATCTGAAAACCTGCCTTCACACATTATGGCTTCTACATTCAACACGTATTAAACGCCCAAGAAAAACATTTAGGATTCAGTCATAGGCTGCACGGCTCCTTACTGGGCATTTAATGCACTGTTTGATTGTAAAAGCAATAGTTTTGTGACCTATGCAGTACATTATATACAGTAGAGGGGTAATTTGAGTTTTAGCCCTAGCAGTCCATGAGCTCTAGTTATGGAAAAAATGGCTCTTAACTATAAAGCTTGAATCTGCCTTTTGGCTTCTTTCTCGTTCTTGTATTAAAACTGCTTAAAATGAAGTTTTTACAATGCGTTTTTTGTTTAAATTGTCTCACAGCTGTAAAACATCAGCACATTTAGGCTCCAGAGTAAAATCTGATTCATGACTCCTCATTTCTTAAATTTACTTCTTCATTATAAAGTTTAAACCACTAAAAATAAAAGAAATATTTCAGAACTCTTCCATTCTTTAATGAATCGTCCAACTACATAAACATTGCTGTGCTTCATCTTCTGTAATAAGTTTTTTAATTATTGTAGAAAGTTCATTACTGAGAATGTTTTTTTAAGTAATTATTGTGTGAGATAAAAACGCTTCAGGCAAAACTCACTCTTTGTTTTCCTGGAACGCAGAAAATACACAGACATGGTCCTTACAAAGGTGCTTCAACACGTAGAATCAAATTTCACAGGTGAAAGTCAGTCAAATAAGACACTGAATGAGAAAAGTGTTGTTAGATTCACTTCTGCTGTGTTCTATATGCAAATTTGGGAATGATGCTATAAAGGAATGGAATGATGTCATAATGGACATTGCAGACGATGGCTCCAGTTCTGGTTCTATGGTTGCCATGGAGAGAGCGACTAACCCAGCCAAGATCCATTCTAGTCCATGTATTTACTCAAAAAAAGCCTTAGGATATAATAAACATGGGATTTTAAGAGGGTAGCAGTAAAAATAGCTAGAAATGGATTCATTCAAACCAAAAAATAAATAAAATTATGGATCTCATTTTATAAACTATTCAAGAGGATTAGTTTCCACTGTAAAAAAAAATCAATCTTTAGATATTTTCAATGATCATGTTATGATGTGTTTAAACTGACTTGGACTTTAGGTTAAAATCCTTTTGAGTGACTCTGTAACTTTATTATGTTTATTTTTATCAAAACAAAACATTGGCCTTTTCATTTTGGCACTAATAATCATAACACTATCAAAATGTTACCAAATAATTTAGTCGTGACAGTTTTTACTGATGCTGAGCAGAATTCACAAACACTAGCCATTACATGACTAGGAAGCACAGCTTTAAACAGTTGTACAAACATAAAATCATAATATTTTTGTTAAAAAAATTTGACCGAACTGCCAGAGGTGCGGACATGAATCATGTGACTTGAACTAGAGTCCATCTCGAGTCACGAATTTGATGACTTTAGACTCGACTCGAGAAAATCAAGAAAGACTTGCAACTCGACTTTGACTTGAACACCAGTAACTCGGACTCTGGCTCAGACTTGAGCTTCATGACTCAGAAAGACTCGGAAAGATTCAAAGTGGAAGAAATGTGGAGAGCCTGACAGCTACATAGTCGATTATTTTTAATGTGTATGGATTCATTTCTGCTGTAAATTGAATAAACAGCAACCTCGTCAAATGTCTGTTACTGTGCTTATTCTCAGCTTATTTTATATCAGAAGACAAGAGAAGTGTTAGAGCTCAAGTTCACCTCCATAAGCTGGAAACACGCGAAACATCAACACCATCAATGCACCCTCGATCAGCCATTTAAACTCTTACTGGAGAAACGCACCAATTTTAACAGCTTCTGCGGGTAAAACACGCAAAACATTCAACCCGAGGCTGAAGCTAACTTTTTATTCGCCAGCTTCATACTGGAATTTGCCGTTCCATCTTAAATGGTGCAGCAGTTACATGTCGGCCCCTGGCTGTTGCACCAAGGTGGGACGGAAATTCAAATAAGAATCTGGCAAAAAGTCAACTTAAGCTTCGTACATTCAACATTGTTTTGCTCTTTTCTGTAAACTTTGTCTAGCTCGTTCGTTTTGGTTTCTGTTGTCGTCTAAATTTTGTATTTTAGTTAAAGGGTAAAATAATAATAATAAAAAATTAATGTACAGCCATACACTGCTAACGTACTGTTACCATTATTCAGTGTTGTGGCCTTAAATTAGCTGAAGAATGCAGACTGACTTGTGTAGGACTCGAAGATTAGGACTAATGACTTGGGACTCGACTTAAGTCTCGCCTGTTCTGACTCGGGACATGAATCGGGACTCGACATTTCCCTGGGACTTGACTTGGGACCAGTATGAAGACTTGAGACTTTCTTGCTATTTGCAACTTAGTGACTTGTTCCCACCTCTGCTAACTGCAGAAAATCTGTGTTTCAGTAGTGACAATGTTCCACACTGATTTACAGAAATTGGGACACATTTACTTCAGAAGAATGGGATCGAACTGCTCACCATGTGGCCATGAGGGACAGGGATGCAGTCTCACTTCCTGCTCTAAAATGCAGGGGTGTGGCTAAAATTAGGCTCCACCTATGGACTAAAACTCTTTGTGTTTCAGTATTGATATGAAAACGTGGGACAGAATTTTCTAAATAAACTTTTTCTGTTTAAAATTTTAACTTAATTAATCTTTCAACTTCACTTTAAAAAATATGTAAGTATTATTTTCACAACTTGAAATTGGAGTTTTGGGATTTGAGACAGCCACCTTTGAACAGTACCCTATAAGTGATGATTTTGTATACAACCTCTCCAAAAAGGCTGGGACGCTGTGCAAAATGTAAATTAAAACAGAATGTAATGATGTGCAAATCATTTAAACACTATATTTCATTGAACACAGTATGAAGACAACATATACAATTTTGAAACTGAGGAAATGTATTGTTTTGATTTTGATATATATGCCCATTTTGATATATATGCCCATAATTCAGTAGAATTCGCCATATAGATGATGCACAGATGGAGAAAATATGGCACCACATGGACATCGCCATGGTCACGACAACCCTCCAAAGGACAAGAAGAGAGTTCATCAGAGAGGCTACTTAGAGAGCTACAACAATATTAAAAACGCAAGAAACTTCTAGCAGGTACTGGTCACTCCTTATATGATATATAGAGGCTGCTTCTCTTCAGTTGGGACAGAGGCTCTGGTCAAGATAGGTGGCACAATTACAAGCTCCAAAAATCAAGATACTGGCACAAACCAGCTAACCTCAGTCAAAAAGCTTAAGATAAAGAACAATTTCCCATTCCAACATGACTGATAATAATCCAAAGCACTCATCCAAGTCCACCAAGGAATGTTTCAAAAAGGAAGATCAGTGTCTTAGAAAGGCCAAGTCAGAGTCTAGATTTCAACAAGTAGAAAACCTGTGAAATCTGCTAAATCAGTCTGTGTATAGATCACCTCGCAGTTTGAAGAACCATTAAAAAAACTGAATTGCTCTGATGTTGGTTTTGATCAGTTTTCATTTGCTGATCTTCCTTATCAAATGCATGTAAGTCAGTGAAACTGAGTCAGTTGTGTTCTTTCAATGAAATTAAGCAAGATATCAGATTTACTTCATAAGTGTTTGTTTGTCAGTGTCTCTCTCCTTTTTCTCCTGGCATCATCTATCTGCATATTCCTTTCCCTGTTTTACTCACTCTCTTTGTGCTGTCTTTCCCCCTGACCTACCTTTCCTTTGGTGCGCCTCTTTCTGATACTACCCAGCCACAACGGGCGTCATTCACCAATATCTTTCACCACTATCCTTGAGAAAAGTCCTAAGTCTACATCAGACTCATGACATGCTCTTAAACTGCAGACTTGTTTGTACCTTTGTGCTCTTGAGTGTGTGTAGATTCTGTTCTTACCTAAGAACAAATCCCAAATAAGTAAACAGCAGTGAATGTCAGAATCTTCATGAAAACTACGTAAGTGGGTTTTAAGAAGAAATCTTTTCTTAAGAACGGTTGGTGAATGAGGCTGCAGAGTGTAATTCTATGACAGATCAGTTGTACAAAAACAACTTAATGAAACTATGTAGATCTAACATACACCTATTAACTTTATGTTCTTTTCCTCCTGTGATTTACTTAAATTCATTGGGTACATGTTGCTCAACTGAGCATCTTAAAGGCTACTTAACCCAGTTGCGTGGAACCGCTTCACATAACATTTTAGAGTAAATCCAACATTTAATTTCACTGAGTGAAGCTTTTTCTGAAGGAAGTGTGGATTAAAATTGTAAACTGCACATGTGACAACTTTAGAAGTGTGTAATAAACCACCGGTCAGCAACACAACCTTAAAATAGCTCAACCAGTTTGCACTGAAGTTCCTGTAGTTACTGAATAATAAGTCTTAGTATAAGCCTGAGATTTTAAGGGGTTAAAGACTTACTGCTGTAATAAATGTAAAAGGTACTTTAACAAAGTGTTGTGAGGTTGTGCACAATTTTGAAACCAGGTTATTGTTGTTTTTTATTTTCTTTTTTTCTAATAATTAGTTTAGTGGTTGTAAGGTTACAGATAGAAGTATATTATTTATTTATTTTATTTATTTTTTTTTATTGTTTTTAATTCAAGTATCCAAAAAAATGGACATACTTCATGTCCACATAATGAGTAAACCTAATGGAAATCTTAGACAGTTCATATACAGTGTGAAAAGTTCAAAGTAGTTGAGTGAAACTCTGTGCATGAGATAACAACCCAGCAATCTTTTAAACAAGGTAATGTTTTCTAAGTAAGGATTGCTATTGAACGCATACTTTTCTTCAAAACTCCCCAAGTATGGAAACATCAGGCTCAATCTTGTTTACTATCGGACAGTCACTGTAAAAAATCTGCAGTGTCTCTGAAATAGCTAGGGAGGTATTTTGTTTTCAGAGAGACGCTGCAGATATTTAGTGTCTGTAGGTTATAAACAAGATTGAGCCTAGTGTCACTATGGCTACCATGGAGGTCACTCCTTAATCCACTTTTCCTATGACCATTGTGTTTCAAGATTACATCTAAAATATCCAGTTAGGTGACAGACGTGTTGTTTGTTACTGTTTTTAGTGTCAGAAAGTCAGAAAAAGTGTGTTTGCTTTTTAAGCTACTTTTTGTCCCATTAAAAGACTCTGTGATAACATGCAGTTTTCAGCTGCCAGTACAGCTGAGTGAAAATGAAATTACAGCAAGAACAGCAATGTTACAAGAATAAAAAGCACAGAGCTTCATCAGACGTGTGAGTGTGACTTCATAATGACTCGTTGTAAGTATTGAAATCTGCCCATAAAATTCAAGCAGATGACAAACTGCCAGTAAAAACATCAGCGTTCGCTCCTAACAGACTCACTTTAACTAATTTACACATTATATTCTCTGTATAACTGGATTCTGCCCTCAAAGAGCAGGTCAACAGAAAGGTAACCCGCTAACAGGCTAATGCTACAATAATAAAACAGACTTCAAGTTCAAGACTAAATCAAACTGAAGAATGTTACTGGCATGTCTGTTAAAGTGAAGAATGTTACTGGCATGTCTATTTATGAGCTAAAAAAATGATGCTAACAGCTAGCTACTATGGTGAATATACAAGAAGCATTATTGACGCACTGGACTAAAAACAGGTTCCTACATTGACATTGTTGTGTAATGGCTGCCTGTATCTGACTGAAAGAAGTTTACATGAAATGACTTTATTAGTATGAATAATTGGTGTAGTCTATAAATAGGAATCCCTGACGATTTCTCATGCATTTCTCTCATGCAGGTTCAGGTTTCTGTACACACATCAATTAAGCTACAAACATCGGCACAAAAGCATTCGAGCATCCCAACAATAAATATTACTGATATTTTTATTCATTTCCACATTTCTATGTTAGGATGTTATCAGTATTTCACATATTGTTTGTTTACGCTTCACCAGAACTTCCAGCCATAAGTCACACAAAGCATCATAGGCTGCAGGTATAGCATGCAGTACACACACATCCACTACATCCACCATCTTACCAGTGACCTTTGACCCTTACATCCTTTGGCATATGATGCTATACCAATACCTTTAAAAGCCCCATTCATTAAAATCCCCAAAATTGTTTTACGTTTGTATCTCATTGTGGTTTTTAATGATGTACGACACAATTCCACACAGAGGCAGTGTTGAGCAGTAGCTCAGAGATAGTTATTGATTTGTTACCTCAGACATAGGTATAATCAGCTTCTATAGAAACAGTAAAGTTACAAAACATACAGAACATATACACGATATACATATGTGTGTAAATATATAGATGTCCGGCGCCTACCTCATCACTCGGATGCGGGACATCCCGGCTTGTTTGAAGCTCCATATACTGAGGAACACGGTGCGCATGGTTTCGTTCAGATTGCTTCATCCTAGCGAGAGTTATTACAGAATATTCTGGGCCTCTTTTGAGTGAATCTCCCTGCATAAATGAAAGTGTGTGTGTGTGTAAATCACACACATGTAACTGTAAATACACTGTGTTGTCATAAAAAAACAGACAAACTCACACCATATACATTTTAATAGCAATTCTATAAGAACCATCGAACATAAACAACAGAAGCTTATTCACCACTGTTCGTTTTAGTCAGTTCAATTTAAAGATATCAAATATATAGGGGTGGGAATCTCTAGGCACCTCACGATTCGATTTGATTACGATTCAGAGGGCTGCGATGCGATTATAAAACGATTATCGATGCATCTTTTTTTTCTATACATGATTTCTATTTTCTTACTGTGTGAGGACTTGGTACTTTTAAAGCTAAGTATTTGTAATGATCCATAATGCATTTATGTCCAAGATCTTTTATTAATAAATCAAATGGAAGTGATGTGGCAAGTGAACTAGAAGGCTCTCATTCACTGCTCTTGTTTGGAGACGCTGCTGCCACTCATCTGCGATAAAATGCGCTGTTACAGTGAAATGCGCAAAAGCCCTGTTTCGCAACACCTGAGAACTCGCATGCAGACTGCAGGTCACATAGCAACGAGGTTTCGCCGAGCTAGTAGCGAACGAAAAAGGAAAAGAGAAAGACAGACATTTGGAGACGAATGGACTTATTCGCATTTATAAGCAGCGCAGATGGTTTCCTGGTACGTTAAATCTGCAACGAGAGACTGTCAAACACTAAAATGAGGTGGAAAGGTGGAATGGGAAAGTTCAGCAAGAAGCTGGCGAGTGAGAAGCAACTTCAGCCTCGTAAAACAGTCGAACGATGAGAGACATTTTACAAGAAACTATTCAACTTTTGAGGAAAGGTTTTCGGGCGGAGTTGGAAGAAAAGTGGCTATAGCTAAAACTTAAAGTGGAGTAGAGTAAGTCAGCGTTTTTGTTTATATTTTTTAGCCTAAACTAGGACATTAACACATACTGGACATTAAATGTTGCGGCTCCCAAGGTGGTTTGATTTTTGTTGAAAGGACAAAGTGGCTCTTCTTAACATTTGGGTTGTGACTCCTGATCTAACCTGGCTTTTAATGCAGAAGGTGCCAGTCGTATTTCTTGCTCATCTAGTTGTGTTTGTTATGTGCGCGTAACGAAGTGTGCGGGCGCTGCACTTACCCACTTTCAAGTTCCGCCCTTTACGTTCCGTTTACATTATACATTAAATATTTAGAAAATCGATTTTTGACATTCATGAATCGATTCAGAATCGTTCATGTCTGCATTGCGATGCATCTAAGAATCGATTTTGTATATATATATATATATACACACACACATTAATAAGTCAACAAATAGATAGATAGCTAGATAGATAACACAAACTATGTACATGAATTCATAGTTTGGAAAGATGACATCATACTGTCACCTGAACACAGCTGTACCCATCCTGCAGCTGTATTTCAATGGTGCAGACCTCAAAACCAACCTCGGACTCTCTCGGGAGGCCATTGCCTCCCTCACTGCTGCAGTAAGGCGTGAAACTGAACATGGGTGGACCTGGGATATCGAGGTACTGGTGTTCCTCTACTGGGTGGCACAGGCAGCATCCTATTGTGTGATCTCATGCGAGCCTTTGCCATTCTTAAGTCATCTGTGCATAATATTGTACACAGAGTGAGTAGGGTTGTCAGCAGGACAGTCAGGAGGGTCATCACTTTCCCCACTGGAGATGAACTGGATGTTTGCTCACTTGACTGAAGTGCCAAAGCACTATGTAGGTTAAATATACATACTATACGAAAGACTTTCCACTTGTGTTGCAACTAAAACAGACCACAGTGAACTGCCGTTTTCTCAGCGCTTCCCTGTAGTTGACATTACGACTGCCCTCTTTCAGCTAGGAAATCACAAGTCCAACTGCTCCAGCAGAAAGAAACTTATCAAAAACTCAGAGTAAAAACTGCATTTTCTGTATAAATCAAATGTAGTCACTGATGCTGCCATGGTTAAGGTTAGTGCACTGCTTTGATTAAACTGCAGCTTAAACAGGCTACTACATAATCAGAAATATTACTAAGCAAATTACAACCAAACCTCATTCCATATTCACCCACACAAAGTTCCATGTATATATTGAGCAGCTTGTGATAGTTATTTTATCATCTTTTGTGTCTATGAGATTTGCATCAACAGTGACTGCATTTTAAAGACTAGCATAATGTCTGATATCATCTATTATTGGCCACAGGGTATATTATCTACTATGTTCTCTTACAAGGGAAAATCACTCTATGGCTCATTTGGTTGTGTACAGCATGAAAACTGCAGTACTAACCATCCTATTATTTACCATCCCTGAAGGATGTTGATAGTGTTTCTGCTTGACTGGAATGAAAACCTTCAGCCTCAGCAGCCCTTTTGTGGATAAAACTGGACAATCCTAGTTTGAAAAGACAGGAAAGTACACACCATAAAATATACATCCTAACATGTTTATCCGCACATATTTACAAATTTTGTGTTTCACACAAAATGTAACAATGGCAACAGACTTTATAGTTTTTTTTCAACAATTTATTTATTTTTAATAAGCATCTTCAAAAGATGGAGAAATGTTTCCTCCCTCTCTCGCGTATCCCTATCTCTCCTTTCCTGTAGTATGGCATCCGGGGAATTTTCGATTAACACTGCGTATTCAGACACCTAAACTATTCTCTCGTACTGTTTTCACGTACTATATAGTATGGAATTGTGCCATTTCAGACGCAACCGTTGTAAAATACAGGACATACACCTATAAGTGAACTCTGTATTACTGCACTGCGTCATGACGAATCCTTGTGCTGTTAATGGAATAAGCTTTGAATCAAATGCTGCTCGCATGGACCGCCGAGTGTAATGATGAAGTAAGAACCTGTTTTTGTTTAAACCGAGGGGCTTACAATTTATTCTCTTAGTTAATTAAATTAAATTAGACTATGCTGGTCCGATAGCTAACAGTAATAATTCCAACTCCATAATGAATATCACAGGCTTCATTTTAAATACTTACGGTGTGATTCACAGTAAAACTGCAATATAGTTTAAAGTATGTCACTTGAACGGCTTACACGCTTCAAATGTATATGTTTCAGTCAGAAAGCGCATCAAACCCAGGCTGAATTTGTGATTTTTTCATAGGGAAGGGTGTTCTGGCTTATTGCTTTAATATACCACTGTTATTATGAAAAATATAGAAAAATAAACATGTGTTTCCATTATGCATCTGTTACTCTTTTCAAAAATGTGCTATATACAACGGGCCCTTTTCACAAAGAGTTGTGATTACTTTCGGTTTAAGCATTAGCAGGGTAAAACGTACGTCCGCTCAATATAACTACTGCAGAAGCGATGACAAAATGTTATAGTAGTGTACTATAATGCTCAAACACTGAGCTACAACAGCTATATTTTAGTTTTCCTGCACTGTTGTGACAAACAGCAAGAATAAGAAGTGGATGGAAGCACTGATTTAACTTTAAACAGAGCTAAAATGTGTGGGGTAGCCTTGTTTTTACTGCAGTCTGCTGCAGCTGCTCACATCAAGCAGTATCTGTGTCTTTGTACAACATGCCAGCGATTTCTGTAATATTTCAACAGAAAGAAGAACTTTTATATGTAGCATAAACTTGATTGACTCTTGATGGAAGCTATTGCTAACTAGATTACCCGGCTAACATAAAGCAGCTTTCTGCATCACTAGTTAATTTTGTACTCATCTTTAAAAAGCTAATGCAGAAAATAAACTGTCAACGAAATAATTCTTACATGATCAGCTTGGTACAAACAGCTAACGTTAGCTGGCACATTATGTCAGAAACCTTACATGGCTATTTCCAGATCACAAACAGCTAGCTAGCTATGTCAGAAAATGGAAATCAAAATGTCACAGCATAACCGCAATGCTAAGATACAAGTTAGCTAGGAGTCGTGTTTTTGATTGAGCCGTGAAAGGTGGATGTTTTCCGAAGTACTTCTTCAAAAATTGCCATGAAACTAAAAGAATTATGCTATTTGGCAGGTCACTAACATAGCTAGCCAGCCAACTTTAAAGTTTGCTATTCATATGAAGTTGGTGCTCCTTAAACTGCTAATGGTAGACTAACGCAAGAGCACCGTATTCCGTACACCACTTCTGTATTTTCCACGTTTCAGTAGATATTTCGGAAGTACCCGAAGTCACACAGGCTATAATGATTATCATTATCAATTGTTTTAAAGAAAAAACTGTCCTTTGTCTAATCAGACTGGAGCGTCAGTATTTCAAACACCTCTTGGCAAACAAGCAACGGTATTTGGTACACCGCATCTTTTTCCACATGTGGTGATGTTTTTTTGCAGAACTTTGTCTCCGGTAAGTAAAATTACAGTTTGATACTACTTTTATATGTTGTACAATAAAATTACATCTTGTCCTCTTGTAGGGAAAAAAGTTGTATTTAATTTTTTTTCCTTCAGTTTAGTTAATAAGATAAGTGGATGTGTCATGTGTGCTCAAATTACCTCAGTTAGCTTCATGCTCTCAGAGAGTGAAATTTATTGTAATCACATGTCAAATATTAATAACAATTTTCAGTAAACATAGATTACTTGTAATTTAACGTTTTAAATGTTAACATGTTTTCCCAAAATAAATATTCATAAACATTAACTTAAAAACAAACTAAAAAAAACCACTAACTTTTAATATGACGTAACTGGGCTTAAAATCTTAAAACTATTTACAACAACATGAATTTAACTTGTATTGAGACTTAACAGCATTAAATGTTATAAACCTATGTATAAAATTAATTAATAATCAGCATTTATTATTTCATTCAATAACATTTGTACAAAGAACATTTGGGGCAGTACCAAGCACCCTGTGGCACCTCCTGAAGGTCCACACAAACATTGTGGAACCACAGCCGAC